TAAATGCTATTGCTATCCCCTTGGACCATTTCAAAATCTATTTTTCAGTTTTCATGACTCTTCTGAAAACAAATTGCAACTACTTCACTATTATCACAGCCTGAAAACAGAACAGCTTTGCTTTTATGCTTCTGGGTTGTCTAAAGAAGACTTCAGGGGTGGAATTCAGCTATGCTATGATACTGTCTCCTCTCAGCAGGCCAGAATAACAGATGGATGGCAAGGCTTGCGCACATTTAAAAGGGCGCATATGCATGTGTTTATATTCAACATTCATACCCAAGTGTCAACTTAAACTTCACAGTCACTTAAAGCACAATATTTACTTTATTACCCAACATTTTATTATGCCAAAGTAGTTGGAAAAAAAATTGGAGAATGTTTGCCATGCATTTCCTCTATGCATACCCAATGTTTTTAATCTGCATTAATATATATAGTACACAATTCTAGAATTTAGTGGACTGTTAAGGACATTATTGTATAGGATAAAACATGTCCAGTTGAAGTTGTAAAATTGTAATGATTTCCACAAGTACAGCAACAACAAAAATACAATTCTCCATCTCTTCTTTAAGTCTTTTAATTGAGTAAATGGTGGAAGAAGAAACTGAAGGCAATAGCATTTTCCAGAAAACTCAAGAGTATTATTATTTGCTGAATACTGAAAACTTTCACCCCAGAACTATAACTGCCAGAGATTATTGGAAAGAAAGAACAGCTTGTCAGCTCTTATGGTTGCAATGTATATATGCCAGAGAAAGACACGGAATAGGGAAAAAAATGCCTTAAAAGAAAGTAAGAATCCTGAAATAGTTAACAGAATTTGACAATGGAACAGGATCAAATAAATGCAAGAATTATTTATAGCCGACCAACTATTTTGAATAAATGTCAAATTTGTACAATATATTAACTTCCAATTAACTAAAACATATTTTATAGAATTAATTTAATAACACAGGCTCCCACTACCTGAGCCAAAAACTAGTCAATCACTTTTTAGCTATGCACTAACATATATTTGATAGACACATCAAATGAGAATTCACACACATGATGAAAGGAATCCCTTTTCTTAATCATTTTGTTAACACAACAATGTTGTCTCTTGGAAATATAGGGCTTAAGACAGGGGTCTTCAAACTTGGCCCTTTTATGACTTGTGGACTTCAACTCCCAGAATTCCTCAGCCAGCGTGCCTGTCTTAAGAGCTTTTAAACTACTTTCTAATATATTGTTCTTTCCTCCAAGATATTTGAGTTGAGGGGTCCTTGGTACTCTCTGAGCTTGCTTGTTTTCTTGCAGATATTTCATTACCAAAATTAGGTAACATCAACTAGTTTGGGTAATGCAACCTCTGCAAGAAAACAAGCAAGCGCAGAGAGCACCAAGGACTCCTCATTTAAACCCTTAGCTACAAATACTCTCCTTTATTGATATTTGAGTTCTTCTCTGTCCCAGTAATACAAAAATTATTTGTTTTGGATTTTAACTTTAAGCCTATAATTTCCTTTCAAAGATCAGAACACTAGTAAGTAGCTTCCAGTGGTAGGTTGATGATTTTTCAGACTGTAATTAAAAGCAAATGCAATTGGTCATATGTAATATCCTGTGGTTTGCCACATTGCTTTGAAGCTGACCTTCCTGGAAAGTTGCTGAAGCCTTTCAGGGTGTGATACGTATCGTAGCTGGGCTTCATTAGTGTAGTTAGAATTTCAATGTCATTATATAATTACAACCAAAAATAAATCAGAAGGGCTTGAAATCAGAGTAACATCTATGGAACAAATGTAGTTTAGTTAGAAATGCAATCTTGAAATGTTATCTATATTGGAATAGGCCACATGAGTTCATCACAGATTCCAAATGACTTCTTACTGAGCACTTAAGATTTCAAAATATTCTACATAAAACAATAGCTACCCTTCCTATGCTCACTCTATTCTTTAGTAACTTGAACACCTCACTGATCCATCTGCCTCTTGACCTTCCTTCCCCTTCTTAACTCCTGTTGGGGTTGACTGCTTCCCTCACTGTCATGGCCATTCTCTCAATCATCAGCCCTTCTCTTATATGATCAACACTTCTAATGCAATTCCTCTGGTAGCTGAACCTTTGTTCTTAAAGGAAGGTCTCAGGTTATCTCCGAAATTTCAATTAAATCAGAAGCCTTGATAATTCAATAAGCTGCCTGTCATTTTGAGTCAAAACATGAGGTTATTTGATCTGCTGTTTATATTTCTAAAGACAGAGGGCATCAAAGCCATCAGTGCAGACAGCTTAAAGACAGATGGTGTAGCAGTGATTTTATCAAGCATTTTTCAAGACACTCAGTGCAGACCAAAAGGTAGTTATCTATCATTTGTTTATATAGTTGAACTTATACAGTGCTCTTTAAAAGAGCCTTCACCAATCAATAGACCTCAAGATGTGGTGAGATCAGAGACCCCAAACTATCAAGCCAGCATAGCCAATAGCCATACTGTCTGGTGATTTCTGACTGATGTACACAGAACCAAGCTACCGGTATTACTTGAAACAGAGTAGAAGTGGGGATACACGAATCCTGTCCTCCATTACAGATGGAAGCTGGTGGGTGACATTGGGCCAGTCAGCCTCTCTGAGTTGAAAGCAAATTGAAAAACATCAATAAGCCAATCATGGTAGATCAGCAAAATAGATTATTGTCATAACCTTCAGAGAAGAAGCCTTCCTCTTGGAAAGATCTGATAGAAATCTTGGTTAATTAATTGTATGAGTTTAAATAATTCATCTATTACTCAAGCAGTATTGTTTACATATGATTAATACATACTTTTATTCAAATTACCACATCATTTTGGGTTAATTATCAGTTGCTTAGCAACCTTTCAAAGTTACAATGGACTTCCCCAGAGTTACTGATGACACATTTTTGATGCTCCAATGGCCATACCTCTTTCCCTCATGGTCATGTGATTGTATTTTGAGTGCTTGGCAAATATTATTAGAAATATTATTAGATAAGGGGGGTGATGTATTCTACTTGACCTGGAGAAAAATAAAGGTCAAGTCAACTATCAATATAATTTCAGTTTTGTACCATGGCAAAATTTTCACATATTTAGCCATTATAGCTCATTGCTAGAAATTTAAGATCAAATTAATAAGCAAAACTGAACTTTTGGAAGTAGGATTTGTTTTACTGACAGGCAAATATTAAGTGTGTTTTATTATTAAAAATCTTCTCTGGAACATTATACTATTTGGGAATTTGGGGAATTGTAGTCCAGAATTTTAAAGTATGTCACATTAGACAAAAATGGGCAATTATGCCCAAGCAAGTAGGATCAAAGTCTTAGAGTTTGATCACTGTAATTTGAAGAAAAAAAAGATATCATAAAGGTTATTGTATTTTTCTATGTTTATTTATTAATTTACTAGCTCTGCATAGTGAATTAAAGTAGAAAATATGCACTTTTCATTTTAAAGAGGATATAATGTTCAAGAATTGAGGAAATTTATCTGACTTGTCCCAATCCTATTAGCCTTTCAGAAGGCCCTGACATCTTGACTATTTTTTGGGGTGTTGGAGCAAGGATGTTAGAGTAGCTTGTCCCACAGTTGGTATGCCCCAACTAGTCTTTAGTTGTAAAGGTAGTCCTCAATTTATGACTCCAACTGAGTCCAACATTTCCATTACTAAGCAAGACAGTTTTAAATGAGTTGCACCGCCATTTTACCATATTTTTTGCCACAGTTTTTAAGCAAATCACTGCAGTTGTCAATGAACCATGCAGTTGTTAAGCTAATCTGGCTTCCCCCGTTAACTTTGGATGTCAGAAGCCAGCTGGGAAGATTATAAGCAGTGCAAATGTCATAAATACACGTCAGTTGCCAAACGCCCAAATTTTGATCATGTGACCATGTCACAAGTCACTTTTTTCAGTGCTGTTGTACTTCAAACGGCCACTAAACAAATGGTTATAAGTAGAGGTCTACCCACATTGCAAATCTCTTTTTTTTGTCGTAGGCTGTCCTATACAATAAAATAAATAAATAAATAAATAAATAAATCTTGACATTCATTACTTTATATTGTTATTAGGCAAGTACCAAACCATGATATATCAAGGATCTCTCAGAAATAGTTCACTCATTGTGAACAAGGTTCACTACAATGAGAAGTTATAAACTTCTGCAAACTAGTTAAGACATTTCATTTTTTGTAAATCTTTTCAGAATCTCCAGCAAGAGGAATTTGTAAATTGCAGACAGCCTGAAAGATGTACATCTAACTACTCTATGTAATATAGGGATCAAGGATCGGAAACTCTGCTCTGTCTCCAGCAGGATCTGTATTCTCTTTGTGACCATTTTTGCTTTCTGTTTCCAAAATAATAGTTTTTAGGAAATTATTTGTGACACGGATCATAATCAAAGTCTTTCATACCATCTTTGAGAATGAATCCATCCAGGAAAATTGATTGCAATTCAAAACATGAAAGAACACCTAATTTTATTTTATCCTGTCACATCACAGGGACGTGGATATGTGTGTTCATTGTGCAAGAAGAAAATTCAAAGAAATGTGCCATCTGATTCATCACAGATCAAAGTAACTTTTCTCGCTTTAGTGATTTGCAGAATCATTATTTGTTATATCCTGAGGGAAATCCTGCCAGGTAACAATAAAATTAAAAGTTTATTGTTACCTGGCAGGATTTCCCTCAGGATATAACAAAATAATGATTCTCCAAATCACTAAAGTGAGAAAAGTTACTTTGATCTGTGGTGAATCAGATGGCACGTTTCTTTGAATGTTCTTCTTGCACAATGAACACACATATATTCCTCATTTGTATTTGTCAAATTACAAATCCATATCCCTGTGATATGACAGGATAAAATAAAATTAGGTGTTCTTTCATGCTTTGAATGTGATAAAATGTATTGACCTTTAGCTTCCTTCCTCCCTTCCTTATATAGAACAGCAACAGAATTCAACAGAAGCTTACTCTTTAGGAGGGTTCAGGTCCTCCGGTCGGGTCTCAAAAAAACGAAAGACTTCATCACATTGTGAGATATGAGGTGGAAGCTTTACCAGGGCCTGTTAAAAAGAAAGAGAAATTAGACATCCAAGCAACCAGGAAATAAAAAGATAAGAAACACTGGGATTACCTTAACTAACACCTGTGGGTAAACAGAACAAACTGCACAAAAGCTTTCATAAACAAATATTAGAGTTTTAATAATGTAATAATTAGTATTGATTTGATTTTTAAAATTAATTATATTCATTTTACAATTACTTTTTACATTTTACATATTTTAAAATTGTTGAGTTGATTATTTAAACAAATGGAAATACAAGATATACAGTCCTAAATAAATTTAAATTTTGAGCTTATTAACATGGTTACCAATGTTAGTACTGTTCCCTTTTCTCACTGCTGCTCATAATAAACATTCTGATACTTTTCAGAAGCATCACTTTAATGGTGGGCATCTTCAGTTCTATCATACTAACCAGCAGAAACATTGGCAGGAGATTTTGGGAATTACAGTGTTGCTCAGTTTGTGTTGCTTTTAAAAAGGCTGATTGATGACATATCAACATCAGAACTGCATGTTTAAAAGAAGAAGAATCATTCAAACAAGCGAAAGATATTTTTTATATTTAAACAAGCAATGAAAACAGTAATCTTATTTGCTTCATAATTCAAATACTGTCTATTAGAAATGTAAGAATTAAAATTTGTTTGTGTGTGTTTGTGTACGGGCGTGCATGTGCACTTGTGAGTCAGTGTTTGGTACTACTTGGACAAATCTTGTTTTGCAAGATTTCAGAAGTGGTTTGCCGCTGAGAGGAAGGACTGAGAAAATGTCACGGTCACCAAGCTGGCTTTATGCCTAAAATGGGACTAAAACTCACGGTCTCACGGTTTCTAACTTGATGTGTTAACCATTTCACCAAACTTGTTAAAACATTGGACGTTATACTAAATTATGTACATAGATAAGAAGGGATCCAGTTTGTACTCTTTGACTCTATTTTAGATATATTTGTTTTGTGGTCCAAAAGTATTGCTGATATTTTGCAAGGCATTAAAACTTGGCTTTGCTGTCAGGCCTGAGGCCCTGATAGCATGTCTGAGTCTGTTTCTTGGTTATATTGATTGTGATATATTGTGGTTGTTCTTGATTGCTATATCATCATCATATTATTTGTGTTTTTCATTATTGGTTGTGCTTTTACTCTTTTTTATTTTGTTTTAATTGTTAGCTACCCAGAATTATGTTATGTGGTATGGAAGGCCAGGTCTATGTATTCAATACATAAATAAATAATTATAAGGATCATGGTTTGCTGATTTGGTTAAGGCTTAGGTTTTTAAAAAATGAGAATAGACTTAATATGGAGAACCTCCATAGAAAGAGGAAGGTGTGCATTATAGCCAGTCATTGTCATTACATGAAAAATCCCAATCGCTTTAATTTATATTTACTTCTATTGAAGATGAATAGAGGCACATTATTTACATTTTCTGCAATACTTTTTATATATAACTAATAAGAAAGGAGTGAGAATAGAAATTCTAGTAGCCACACAACTACTTTGGTGGCATCTAGTCTTTGCATTCTATGCTTAGTCAGGAAGATCAAAATGTCCATCCCTTTTCTTGTATATAGAGTTAACAGTATATTTCTTGACTGATTTGTGAATTGGATTGCTATAACATCATAATGGAAATGATTCCACCAAACAAGGACTGCAAACCATTATGTGCTCTTGGCTTATTTATTTTATTCCACTCATTCCTGAAAGGTGCAGATAAATTACTCATAGCATATTTTAACTATTTCAGCACAACAAAAAATAGCTTGACAGAGTGGGAAATGTTTTATGAAGCCAGGTATGTCATGAGAGAATCTGAAAATGGATCATCAAAATAAAACCTATACTTGAACCATTAAGTAGAGTTAATTCAAGAAGAAAAAATATTCATACCATAATATTTCCTAGAGCCGTCTTAGATGATACCCAACAAATTTCCTCTACAAATGAAAAATCTTATATTCTTATATTAATTGGTAATCTAATATGCTATCTCAAACTATTAATGGACAAAGTGCTGGTGCAAATTTTAACCAAAACATAAATTGCTCTTTTTATTTTATGCACAGCAGAAGAGAAAATGAACACACAATATTCAGATGTTTCAATGAAAAGGTCAATGAAATGTCAAAAACTGACTGATAAAAAGGGCAGCCTTGCCCCTTTGTCATTTTATAAAAGACTGAATGATCCCTCTGGAACTTAAGTAGACAGAAGGGAATATAGAGGCCTCTAAACCTTTTTAAAAGTTAATTAAAATAACAGAAATCCAAGGAATAAACATTTCCATTACTCTACAGTAATACAATTAAACAGACTATGGAAATATAAAATTAGGCTGCAGATCACTTGTGGCTCAAAGACTGCAGATTGCCACAGTTGAGTTAGATACTACATATTCTAAATGAAGCTAAAGAAAAATATGGAGATAGCTTTAAAGTCCTGTTATGTAAATATCAACTTAGAAGGCAGAAAGAAATTGAAGATAAACCTGCCCTGATTCTACTTTGGCTGAAAGTTTGACAAAGGGAAATTCTGATTGGTTTAAAGCTTCTGCTTTCTTCCAGGATTTTTTTTTTACTTTCCAATCTAGCCAATAACCCTGAAATTCCCAAGCATTCCCCCTTTCAAGTATTCCCAGTACCAATACCCTCATTAGTTTCCAAGATCAGCCAAGGTTAGCTAGGTACTGCCAACTGCCAAGAATTCCTTTTAATTTGCACTAGAAAGAAAAAAGCAGAAAGGAATCTTGTGGAAAAGAAGTCAATTAAATATTCAAAAGACAAATGATGTATTGTTAAGACAGTGATCTATTGGTAGCTTGATATAGTTGTGGGAGTTGCTCTAAATTTGTATGGAAGTCAGTTGCATTCATAATTCATAGTCTATTCATTCCAAAAGACAAATTTAACTCATATATTTGCCAAATATACATAATATATAAAAGGATTCATAAAAAACATACTGATTTGAATGATAGATTATGCTGTGATGTTAAATGTTCTAATCACTCTTTCTTATTTAGGGCACTTTTTATTTGCTTATATTTTGCTTACAACTCATTGTCACACATGTGCAGCTAATGAAAAGAAATGAGAGGAAATCTTACTGTCTAGTAAGTTGATACAAAATATAGCATTTGGCAGAAATAGAACACTTGACAAGTGTTGATAATCTCTGGTTGACTTGCAGGAACGCAATGTACTACTTCTCATATGACAGTCTGATTAACAAATGAAATAAATTAGTGGAAGTAAAATTGCCCTTACATTTGTTCTGAAGCACAAAATTTGTACTTATTAAATGAACAATTAATGGCAAATATTAGTGTGAGCTCATATAATTTGTATAAGACTTGTAGCTTTCATTTTCCTGATATTGAATCAATAGTTGCATGTAAATATTGATTACATAAGATGTTCCATACATTTTTTTCTGGACAAATTGTTTAGAATGGATATTTCTTTTCTTTGAAGACTTTGTACTTCAAAGTCTTAAAAGTCTATTGCAAAGTTTCAGCAATATGTTTTGGTTAGACTGAAGTCCAACTGGACAAATATTCTGGATGATTTAGAAACTCTGTTAGGATTCTTATTAGTCAGCCCAGCACAGGGTATAATTATTCCCAAATAGGCAATTGAAGTGAGTGAATAAAGAGATTGTAAAAGGATAAAAAGCCAGTAAGCCTTTACAATTGTTTCTTATGTTACAACTTAATGTAGTAAATTAGCCTTTCCAATAAAACACCACATGCTTATTAAACTAGTACTCCCAGTTAAGTTTCCTCTTTGAACTTTAACATATAAAGCTGTATTGCCAAGTGTATCTAAAATATTTATTTGGATATCAGGATTACTTCATAATCATGTTTTTTATTCAACTTGCCACATAAGGAGGATCACCAACTTCAATCTCAGAAAGTTTACATTCTCAGATGTAACTAGAGGTCAAGATTAGCTTCTGGACAAGGCACAAATTGCACTTAACAAGTAATACATCACAAATCCAAATAGTTTGTTTTCTCTTATGATAAAATTCAATATTATATATGGTCACTTTCACAAGTACTTTCAGATTTAACAGATACATTCAGAAATGCAAACTACTTCATAATTATTTTGCATTCTGTATTTTTCAGATGTTTTGTTGAAAGTTCATTCTAGAATGCTATTTAGTTTAAATGATGACATTGATAATAATTTTGAGAAAAGGGTTCCATAAATAAACCAGTGATATAAAATAGATCTACTCACATTACCTGATTCCAAATATATGAAATATATTTGGTTAATCACTTAGGGAAGATAGATGTGAAATAAAAAATTCTTCAGGCAAGCATAAATAGGAGACCTAGTATCTGAGACCTTTGTTGGAAGCATAGATGGTTGACTGATTTCTGTGAGGTTCTCTAGCTCTGATCTGGAAAGTTTAAGGACCTCAGTGAAGTCTTTCTCATAAACGTATGAGACCTTCTCATAAACTGGTTGATCTGAATTTATTATTTGTTTCATTGGTCTCCAATTTTTTAAATTAATTCACAAAATCTTTATGTCACTACAGTATGGGACACCATGACTATTAAGTCACAGAATGTTCCCAAGGTCTTGAAGACTTTATTTTTCCACCGGTCATCTGAAGGATGTTGGTGGAAGGGGTGCCTTAGGTAGATTTTATTTTTATTTATTTATTAAATTTATATACCGCCCTATCTCCCTTACGGGACTCAGGGCGGTGAACAGGCGATACTAAAAACCACAATAATAAATAAATAGTTTCTGTTCTAAAATCAAATTAAATAACAGGCCTGTTCTAAAAACACCCCATACAAAACCCCCCACTAAAACATAATCAAACTACGCCAGGCCGGCCGCACAGAATAGATGGGCCTTCAGGGCTCGGCGAAAAAGGCGCAGGTCCGCAACTGTACGTAGGTCGGGGGGTAGGTCATTCCAGAGGGCAGGAGCTGCCACAGAGAAGGCTCTCCCCCTGGGGGTCGCCAGCCAGCATTGTCTGGCCGACGGCACTCTAAGGAGGCCCTCTCTGTGGGAGCGGACTGGCCGAAGGGAGGTGTTTGGTAGGAGGCGGTCTTGCAAATACCTAGGTCCATT